CTTTGTGACATGGTGCGTTATCCTGCTGGAAGTAGCCATCAGAAGATGGGTACACTGTGGTCATAAAGGGATGGACACGCTCAGCAACAATACTCAGGTAGGCTGTGGTGTTTAAACCATGCTCAGTTGGTACTAAGAAAATCTCCCCCACACCATTACACCAGCAGCAGCAGCCTGAAGCGTTGATACAAGGCAGGATGGATCCATGCTTCCATCTGAATGTGGTTTTTCCAATCTTCTATTGTCCAGTTTTGGTGAGAAAACCTGTGGCTGGTGAGTGTCTATCAAAGTCTTGATGGACATTCACCTTCCCTCAGTGAAATCATATTTCCATTACTACCTGTTTTATTTACAGGTTTCCATCACATCAGACTTCTTCCTGCAACCAGAGGGACCCTGCAACACTTATGTATTTTTCTGTTTCATTGTAACTGTGTTTAAAGAGCATTTTTCATGTTTTCTGAAATTGTTGCTTAATAAATACAAATGGACTGTAGCATGTGTCACATGTATGTTTTGTCTTTTTAGTGGAGGCTGTAAATGTGTTAGTATGATGAAGGATGTAACTTGTATGTTGTATGGTCCTCTTGGGGGACTCTGAGGTGTTCCCAGGCCTGGGGCCTCCTACCAGTTGGATGTGCCCAGAACACCTCTAACAGGAGGGACCCAGGAGGATCCTGATCAGATTGAAATTGTTATCATAGAGACCAAAAACGGTGATAAAAGCAGAGTAATTATTGAGTTACTCTCATCAGATGGTCAGAAACAAGACTAAAACTGAATGATAATGTTGTTCCACGGCTGCTGGATGCACAACTGCTTAACACGCTCCACATAAAAATGTCTAGAAATGTTTTTTGTGGTTGTGCAACTCGTGGTTGTAGAAAGTAGAACATTTAGCAGCTAGACACACAGATATTTTCCTTGGGAGTTGATAGAGACCAAAAACACATATTTTAATATTTATTATGTTCCACATCTGCTGATGCACAACTGTTAAACAGCTCCCCATTAAAACTTTAAAAAGTGGGAATATGTCAATGTTACGTTCAACAAATAAGTACCTTTCAAAATTGCAGCATAAAGATCAATTTAAAAGTTACAAACGCAGAGAAAAACATTTCCACTTATGAGTTATTTTCATCCAATATTGTATTTACTGATTCTGCAGCAGAGGCAGACTCCTCTTGAATCATTTCCATTGTGCATCTTGTCCCAAAATGTTTAGGGTTTTCATCCATCTGTGTCCCCTCCATATTTCACCATAGTTCCCAGTAATCAGCCCTGAGGAACCAACAAAACACAGTCACATTCAAACAACAACTTAAGGCTTTTTGTTCCTCAGCTAACACAACTTTTGATATATAACAGAATGTAAATCTAATCACCAGAGAAAATGTTGGCAGTGTACATTCCTGCAAACCCCAGATAAGACACTAAGGTTATGTTTTGCTTTAAAATACCCACATTCTGCTGCACAAAAGCCACTGAAAAAGTGGTGACAGGCCACTAGAAACACCCAAAGTTAGGGAAACACAGCCACTGGTCACTAAAAAACAACAGGTGTTGCTGTTTGTTGGTCTCAAACAATGGTCTGCAGCTTTACAGCTGTGTCACGTTGGTATATGTCACTTTATAAATGTTACCATGACACATAAAACATACAAAGATGACATTTCTGTGGTTTGTAGTGACATACATTTTCCTCTGATGACTGGGTTGAGACTTCACAACTAGGACTGAATGCAGAGGTGACGGCAACTTATTGTAACCCTGCTGCAGGGGTATAAATAACTGTTGTGTGCATGAAATGGAGGAAACAACGGTGCGAGCAGGTCTCGTCTGGTGGTGGTGGCGTGCTCTAAAAGTGCCTCCTTCAGGGCGGTCACATGACTGCACAGCATCTGGGTGAACCAACACACCCCAGAGCAAGGAGAGCAGGAGGCCTTTAAACAGCAACTGAATCAGGTGGTGAAACATTTTGACTGTGTGGTGATGATGATGATGCATTATCTATTTTTGTAAAGTTTTAAACTGCAGGGTCATTATATGAAAACGTGCCATTTCCCATTCTTAATGTTCGATTTTCAAAGTACTGTTTTAAAACTATTTATGACCCTTTTTGGATTAAATAGATCTTTACCTATCAGAAATATGTGCTGTGCCATGTCAGGCTATCTTATTTTTTTTTTTTTTTCCACATTTAATCAAGATGCATATGTGTTTTGTCAACCCTGTTACATTACACCAATTAGTGTTTGAAAACGTTTTAAATGCATATTTACAACAAATCTGATATACTTTGAAGGATAAATCTCCCCTTGTTACACTGAGTGTATTTGTACAGTGAGAATATTGAGGTGTTTATGTTTTATCCATGAATGAATATGCTCATTTGCAATTGACGCTTTCACAGCATCTTTATTTTTAAGAACAGAATATGGAAAAAAAACAATACCCACATTTCATTCTGTAGATTACTGGTTTCTTTTACTTAACATATAAAATGAGTTGAATTGACATTTGTCTTTTCATTTTTTGAATTATACTAGAATATTATACAAGTAACAGGGCTGACACCTCAGTAACAGGATTGACAACAGTTACCATACTGATAGTTTAAGTTGCAGCTTTGGGTGTAATGGAGATAATGGGACATTCATAATCCTTTAATTCAACATGACTAATCAAAGAATAGTTTGGAGACATATTTATTGAGAGGTTTTAGCATTTTCAAAACATGAAGGATATTGAAAGGACAGTCACAATGAATTTGATCCATTGAACATGTTTGGCCTGCTCCGAAAGTTGCATCATTTCCTGGGAGTGAAATCAGCTTCCTTTTGTGAACATGCTGGTGAAAAGACAAGTAAGTGTCCTCTTTTTTTCATGATTTTTCTTAGAGTTATATAATGTTTGACAGAGGGAGACAAGCTTATTGTGTCAGCCCTGTTTTCACAAAAGGACACGTTAAAAAGATATGTTAAAATTTTTAATGTACATAAATAACATGATATAAGCTTCTAATGAATGCACACCATGTGGTCTCATGACATTCACCACATTGCTAGTAATGGCTGCCAAGAACATTTTTCGTCAACCCTGTTACCATTCTAGTGTAACAGGGTTGACGTAACAGAGTTAACAAAAGTATGGTTTTGCGAGTACATGAATATATACTTTCCTTACCAATAGCATTTACATTATGGTTTTACAAGTTTCATCGCTAGCTGACAGGGAAATTGAAAAAACTGTGCACTAGGTGACAAGTTTTTGAAATTTGGCATAGTGTAAGGTATGGGTATAAGGTTTTCAAAAACCAAGTTCGGATAGCCACAAATTTCAATATGGCCCTCACCAGAGATTTGGATCTGCTCCAAATTGTAATGGGTTCCATGCTGGACCATGTTGTACCAATCCACCAAGTTTAACACTATGCCAAATTTCAAAAACTTGTCACCAAGTGCACAATTTTTTCAATTTCCCTCTCAGCTAGCGATGAAACTTGTAAAACCATGTATATAATGTAATTGCTATTGGTAAGGAAAGTATTTTCATGTACTCGCAAAACCACACTTTTGTCAACCCTGTTACCATCAACCCTTTTATGCTAGAATGGTAACAGGGTTGACGAAAAATGTTCTTGGCAGCCATTACTAGCCATGTGGTGAAGGTCATGAGACCACATGGTGTGCATTCATTACAGGCTTATATCATGTTATTTATGTACGTTAAAAAATTTTAACAAATATCTTTTTTACTTTTGTGGAAACAGGGCTGACACAATAAGCTCGTCCCCCTCTGTCAAACATTGTATAACTCTGAGAAAAATCATGAAAAGAAGAGGACACTTATTTGTCTTGTCACCAGCATGTTCACAAACGGAAGCTGATTTCACTCACTGATGATGCAACTTTCAGAGCAGTCCATTATCTCAGAAGGGGTGTTTTCATTAAAAGTAACAGGGTTGACGACTACCTGGCGTCCTGACTAAACTGATGTTTTGTTTTTTTTTTTTTACAACATTTTACATACATTAAGAATAAAACCCATTCATGAATAACGAAAGGACACTTGAGGCTTTATATATAAGTTTATGTTTTTATGATAGTTTGACTTTTTTGGGCCTTAATAGCTAGTAAAAGTAGAACAATCATGTTGAGCGACAGGCCATTTTTACAGTTTTTGAATGATGCTTCATACAAAAAGGTGTTTAAAACTCTTTGAAAAAAATAAAATTTTACATTGTTTTAATGTTACAAGAGATATCATGGAAAATAAATTCTAAAATGATTATAGTGTATTTATTGTTTATTGACATTTACAGCACAGTTTTGTTTGAGAGACACAAAATGGCACGTTTCCGTATAATGACCCTACACTTGGCACTTTGTCCTCTGATCCTTGTGCATCACAAGTTTACTCAACTTAAAATATGACAAACACGTTTTAATTTGTAACATAAAGCATACATTTGATGAACAGGGTGAAAGTTTTAACAACGAGATATCTGGAGATTAACTGAGAAAAAGAAGGTGCATAATCTTACTGGCAGCAGATGCAGGTTTCAGGCAACACTGACAATCTTCCAATGAGCATGTGGTGCTGGGCCAGTATGAATACTCTGAGGGATAATTGGGAAATGAAGAACAGCTGAGCAGGTGGATGTGGGAGTCAGGTGACAGGTGGGAAAGTCTGATGACCTCTGGTGGATGGATGGAGAATGGCATGTTAAAATCTTTGTGCTCTCATTCTTTTTGTGGTGTAAAAAGAAACCCAAAATAATCCTAAAGACACGTTCATTGCCAAGACACAAGGGCGCCAGACATTTACCAATGTTATTTGTCTTATAATGCTTGATATCCTACAGCGTGGGGTTATGGTAACACTAACATTACAGGCAGTTGGGAATAGCCAGACTGGTTCAAGATGATAGAAAGGCAACAGGAAGTCAAATAAGCACTGGTTCCAACCAAGGTGTGCAGAAGAGCATCTCTGAAGCAACAACACCTTGTCCAACCTTGAAGCAGATGGGCTACAGCAGCAGAAGACCACTCCAGGTGCCACTCCTGTCAGCTAACAACAGGAAACTGAGGCTACAATTCACACGGGTTTTCTCACCAAAACTGGACAATAGAAGATTGGAAAAACCACATTCAGATGGAAGCATGGATCCATCCTGCCTTGTATCAACGCTTCAGGCTGCTGCTGCTGGTGTAATGGTGTGGGGGAGATTTTCTTAGTACCAACTGAGCATGGTTTAAACACCACAGCCTACCTGAGTATTGTTGCTGAATATATCTATTGAAACTTGCTGAATATTTTAAGAAACTCTGCCAAAAATCGAGTGATAATTGTACACCAGAAGACCAACAATTTGACCTCAGACAAGTCACCTCTCCTACAAATGAATACATAAATGCTTTGTTTACTTTGGAAGAAATACAGCGAATGGTTAAAAAAATAAAAAAGCAGACGGTATTGATGATGTTATAGATGAATATATAAAGAACTCCCCTTTGGAAGTGTTGAACATTATAGTTAAATTCTTTAATTTGGTACTGTTAACAGGTATAGTCCCCACTGACTGGTGTTGTTTGGTTCAGATAAATTAGAAGTTGATTTTGAGTATGACTATCTTGGAACATTATTTAATTTTAATGGACGATTTGATAAAGCAATAGCTAAGCAAGTTAAACTAGCTAAAAGAGCTTTATTCTCCTTGGAAAACAGAGTTACTAGATTACAATTACCTGTTGATATACAATGTGAGTTATTTGACCAGCTTATAGTGCCTATTCTTTTATATGGAAGCGAAGTCTGGGGATTTCATAAACTTGACCAAAGTGAAATGCTTCACAGATCTTTCTTGAAACGTTTACTTATTGTTAATAAACGCACAGCAAATTGTATTATTTATGGAGAGTTTGGTTGAAACAGTTTAGATTTAAAGGTAAACATGAGAATGATTAACTTTTAGGTACATTTAATTAGACATAATACAACAAAAATCTCTTTGAATGTGTTTATTGTTTTCAAGAATTTGTAAGATGACAATATTTTTCAGTGTAAATGGATTTCCAAAGTTAAAAATATTCTTGATGATTGTGGTTTATCGTACTTATGGCATGACGCTGGACGGATGAACCCTAAGTATTTAAAGTTAATGACTGAACGTAGACTATCTGACATGGAACTACAGAGATGGCATGAGAAAGTACAAAGCAACCCTTTATGTGATAGTTATAAATTGTTTAAAACTGATTTCACTTTTGAACCTTATCTGATTATGTTAAGACCTGCCGAAAGGATTTGTTTGTCTAAGTTTCGGTGTGGAAATCATAAGTTACCTATCTCTGAGCGCAGGTATGATCGTGAAAATGTCCCTCTGCAATGTACTCTTTGTTTGACTGGCAATCGAGGAGACGAATATCATTATGAACTTGTGTGTTCCTTTTTTAACAAAGAGAGAAGAGAGTTGGTCGGACAGTTCTATAGAGTAAATCCAAATATTTACAAGTTTCAAAAGTTAATGTCATCTCGAAAAGTAAAGGTTTTGTCAAATTTGTTGAAACTTTTAAAGAAAATCCTGAATAGTTTCTCGTGATTTGCTTTGACTTGTACGTATGTATTCTGTTCTATTTATTTTGTTGTACATTGGTTGCCGCCTGCTCTGATTTGTTATTGCTATTTTTGTTTGTCCCTTATACCCCGGGAAGGGGTCAAAAGGAAATAAATGAAATCTGGCCTGGGAACACCTCAGAGTCCCCCAAGAGGACCATACAACATACAAGTTACATACTTCATCATACTAACACATTTACAGCCTCCACTAAAAAGACAAAAAAGACATGTGACACATGCTACAGTCCATTTGTTTTATTAAGCAACAATTTAAGAAAACATGAAAAATGCTCTTTAAACACAGTTACAATGAAACAGAAAAATACATAAGTGTTGCAGGGTCACTCTGGTTGCAGGAAGAAGTCTGATGTGATGGAAACCTGTAAATAAAACAGGTAGTAATGGAAATATGATTTCACTGAGGGAAGGTGAATGTCCATCAAGACTTTGATAGACACTCACCGGCCATGGGCTCACCAAAACTGGACAATAGAAGATTGGAAAAACCACATTCAGATGGAAGCATGGATCCATCCTGCCTTGTATCAACGCTTCAGGATGCTGCTGGTGGTGTAATGGTGTGGGGGAGATTTTCTTAGTACCAACTGAGCATGGTTTAAACACCACAGCCTACCTGAGTATTGTTGCTGAGCGTGTCCATCCCTTTATCCACAGTGTACCCATCTTCTGATGGCTACTTCCAGCAGGATAACGCACCATGTCACAAAGCTCACATCATCTCAAACATGACAATGAGTTCACTGTACTCCAATGGCCTCCACAGTCACCAGATCTCAGTCCAATAGAGCACCTTTGGGGTGTGCTGGAACGGGAGATTCTCATCATGGATGTGCAGCTGACAAATCTGCAGCAACTGTGTGATGTCATCATGTCAATATGGACCCAAAGCTCTGAGGAATGTTTCCAGCACCTTGTTGAATCTGTGACACCAAGAATTAAAAAGGGGGTCCCACCTGGTACTAGCAAAGTGTACCTAATAAAGTGGCCGGTGAGTGTATATCTTTGAGCACAACTGTAATTTCTATAAGCCATTAATACACACATGTGGTGTAAGTTAAACAGTCTGGCAGCATGTTTATGTTTACTGTTGGTGCTACAAGCTAGCATGCTAACACCGTGCTAGCTTGACACAACGGCGGAGCGAGCGGCATCAAACCAAACTAATAGTGCTAATTTCCGGTTTGCTTTGTTAAAATACGGCACTACAGGTACTCACACAGTCTGTAGGCAGCGTGACGACTCGCGTTTCTTCAGTCAACTCCTTCCCCTTGGTCTGCAGGTCCCGGTGAGCCGCGGGACGTCTGTACTGTTCAACTAGTCCAAGCTAGAGCGGTGAACATGCGCATGCGCATTACAACAGTTAAGTGTTTTTTTCGAACTTAGACCTCAATGTGGGCGGAGTCAAACGTTTGACACCGCCCACATTTAGGCCATGCATAGAAATTAATGGCAAAAATGTACTGTGATGTAAGCGTGACATCACGCATCAAAACTCAGAGTTGGTAAATAGACCTGGTCGACTGTAAATTCAGCTGTTATCCACACACACGCTTCAAGGATATTATTTGGAGCCATACGGTTGGATAACAGCAGACATCTTCAGAGAGACTACTGAAATTACCTTTCAGCTCAGAGATGGACGCAAACAGAGATCACATCCCAACGGACGAGGTCTCAAGTCCAGAGGCGTGGGCCCTGAGGGTTGACACAGAGGTCAGAGCCCTCAGGATGGAGAGACAGAAGCTGTTGGCCAAGCTCAGTGGGAGCTGCCTTGAGACCACCAACCAGCAGAAGGTAGGCAAGGAGGTCGCCACTGAGCCAGAGGCTGAGACTGTGAAGGAGCATAATGAGGCAGGTGACTCTCTGGAGCTCAACACTAAGCCAGAGGAACATAATGAGGCAGGTGACCGTCTGGAGCTCCCTTACAATGTCAGGAGAGCTCCACGAAGGAGACCCCCATTTCCACCTCATGGTCCAGTGCCGTTCAGAGGACCACCTGTGTTTGTGCCACTTCACCAGCGCCTGCAGCATGCACACTATGCGCTCAACCAGGAGAGACACATGAGATTCATGGCTGAGCAAGCGAGACACTTCGAGAGGCAGAAGGGGCTGGAGGCAATGAGGAAGCTGCATGAGGAGCGCAGCTTGAGGTTGAAGTGTGAGGAGGAGATAGAGAGACTGAGAAGTGTGCCCTCCACTGCACCTCCCTCTGAGCTGGACCAGTCAGCTGAAATAACCAAGCTGACGGACCAGCTTCAGGCAGAAAAGCAGCAGGCTGACGTCTTGCAGACAAAACTGCAGGAGGTCAGGGGTCAGCTGAAGGACACCCTCACCAAAGACCTGATGCTGGTTGAAAGGCTTAGAGAAGATAAGCAAGCCCTAGAACAGCAGATGAAGGAGGTGACCTGCCTGCAAAGAGAGAAGGAGGAGGTGTTTGCAGCTCAGCTTGAGGAGCTGAAGGAGCAGCTGCAGAAACAGATCAGCTCCAACCTCGAGCTGACCTGTGAACTGACTGCACAGAGGGAGGCCACGAGGGCACAGCAGAGAATAAACCATGCTCTGCAGCAAGAGATGATGTCTCAGATCACCTATGAGCCGCTCTCCAACCACCTCCAGCCAGCAGGAGACAGCAGAGAGGACAACGCTCCCCAGGATGTGCCTGAACAACAGCTGGAAGTTTCTCTGTGGCGGAGGTTCAAGAAGTTCGTGACACCGAAACACCTCCGCCAGTACAAGGAGAGGGCCAACAGAGAATGAAACATCACATTCTCAGGCCACGACACGCCACAGGACAGCACGTAGGTTTGTATTCAGTCCTGACAGACACACGGCTTTTGTTTCTGTCCTGACGGACAGAAACAAAAGCCGTCAGGACTGAATATGATCTTACGTGTGGCAACGGGTTTTCTCCGGGTGCTCCGGTTTCCCCGCTTTAACTACAAGGATTAATACAACAATAAAATCCTTAAAGTATACTTCACTTTCTGCATCGCTCTATTCCTGTGGAGGATTAACAACTCTTCACAGTGTTGTTCATATTAATGTCAGATGAATCAAATGTATTTTAGCTGATTTAACTCAGAGAGAAAAAGGTTCATGTTCCTTCATTAACACATATTTCAGGGTTTAATATATAAACTTGTCTAACTGCCAAAATTATGATTGTTGGGAAAAATCACACACAGTTGTATCAGAAATCAAATATTGCACACTCTTGCAGCTGAGGCTGTCATTATCATTTATAATATAAATATTCAAATATGCTCCAACTGGCCTCCAACCTGTTGGACGTGTCATAGAGTCCAAACACAGTGATAAACAGAGAGTAATTATTGGAGTTACTCTCATCAGATGGTCAGAAACAACAAACTGAATGATGATGTTGTTCCACGTCTGCTGGATGCACAACTGTTTAACACGTTCCACATCAACATGTCTGCAAATGTTTTATGTTTACAAGTGAACAAAAATAAGAAAAAAACCTTTTAAAAATCAAACCTGAACTCATTTTTTAAAGATGAAAAAACGGTGAGTGTTTTCGTGGATGATAACAGAATTTTCAGTCTCAATATTTCTACATGTGACTGTTTATGTCTGGAAATAAACAGTTATCTGTGTTTCCCCACTTTGATTTTACAATACAAACTTGTTTGAGAAAAAGTTATACCAAGTTAGAAAACAACAGGTTTCCCTTTTCAGCAGTTTTTTAAACCGTCACCACCTCAGACGGACTGTTAAACACATCTATAATTATAATTATGTGCCTCACAGAATAATCTAGATGTGTTTTGATGGTGCGTTCATGTTCACTCTCTTCAGACGTCTTTCTGTGTGTATTTTACATGTCTGATTTGGATTGTTTTCTTAAAAATAATTTAAAAAATCGAGCACAATAACCTCCAGGATCAGACCTCCAACCCAAATACACACTGTAGCCTAACATTTCCTATAAACCACAGTGTGTTATATAATTCATAGACATGATAATGACCACAGTGCACTTAATGATAAGACTAAAGCACTGCAAGATCATGCAGACAAGATGTAAATATGATATAAATGAACATAAGAGATTGCTGATTGTGGCTGTCGATATGTTTTGTCTCTGACATTACTCCCCGTGTATCCCTTGTTCCCTCTGCTCTAACTAAATGTCGATATCCTCATTAGGCGCTGAGCTCATGTCAGCTCCACTGTACCTCGTCCCATGAGGCAAACAGGATTAGGATAAACTAATACTGATCCCTGTTCAGTGCTTAAAGGTCTCCAGATGAGGTTTAATGCAATTATGATGGAAAATAAGACAAAAACAACAACAAACATAATCTAATTACTCACCCAAAAAGAAAGTGGGTTTAAGTGTTGATTATAAGTGGGTTTAGGAGCCGGTAAATGTTTTCTTTTACCACATTAAAGGGTCAAATTAACCCAAAATATGATGATTTTTTTACTGTTGTCTTGGTAGTGTCAGTGGACAGTTATTTGTCTGAACTTTGAATTCTTCCTTCTCCCACTGTTACATAATTTATGCATCAAAATGTAAATTTTTTTGCCCTTTATTCCGAAAAAGACAAAATATCTCCTGAGCAGTTTACATGGTTAATGAAAATGAATATTCTACTAGACTTGTTGGACTGAACGAACACAGTCTCCCTCTTTAATCCCTTCAGCCACCATCTTTAAAAGGTCGACGGTGTGATATTTGCGCACCTCCAAAAACCTGTTGATATCCAAATCTTTCATAATGTTTTAAAGCAGAAAATACTACATTCAGAAAAAGGCCCAGTTTGGAAAATCCAAACTGAATACGCTGTTTACTTGACTCGTGGCGAATTTAGAATATTGTCAAATTCAAAATAATAGTGGAATAATAGTGTTCATGTCATCCATGTCAGTGAAAACATGGATGCTTCACACACAGAAGATCTATACAATCAGCATAGTTTCAAGATTAGAGTCACCAATTCAGTATCTGACCAAATGTCTCCCCTTCTGTTCCTGAGATATGACATTAAAACATGATGATGTCACAGTCAAGCTGACCTTTGACCTTTTGACCTTCATTATTTTATCCTGTTAGACATTTGTGTTAAGTTTGGTCATAAGTGTATAAGTGTATGAATGTTTTGTGAGGTCAGTGACCTTTGACCATTAAATTCTAATCAGTTTATTCTTCAGTCTGAGTGGACGTTTGTGTCAAATTTAAAGAAATTCCCTTAAGGTATTCTTGATATAACATATATAAACATGAGGCAGACAAGGTCACATTGACCTTGACCTTTGACCACTAAAATCCAACCAGTTAATTGTTGAGTACAAGTAAATGTTTGTTTCAAATTTAAAGAAATTCCTTCAAGGTATATGACCTTCGACAACCAAAATTCTAATTACTTTTTCTTCAGTCCACATGGACATTTGTGCCAAATTTTAAGAAATTCCGTTGAGGCGTTCTTGAAATATCGTGTTCACAAGGATGGGATGTACACACCAACAGATGGACGGACGTACAACCCAAAAATATAATACCTCTGACTGCAGCCATCGCCAGTACGGAGGCATAAAGAAAATCTATCAGTTAAATTCATCATTAACTTTGAGATATGACATTAAAACATGATGATGTCACAGTCAAGCTGACCTTTGACCTTTTGGATATAAAATGTCATCACTTCATTATTTTATACTGTTCAAGATTTGTGTCATAATTAGAAAATGCATTCTTAAGTTATGGCCAAAAACATGTTTTTTTTTGTTTGAAGTCACACTGACCTTTGACCACAAAATTCTAATCAGTTTATTCTTCAGTCCAAGTGGACGTTTATGTCAAATTTAAAGAAAAGACAGACAAGGTCACATTGACCTTGACCTTTGACCACTAAAATCCAACCAGTTAATTGTTGAGTACAAGTAAATGTTTCAAATTTAAAGAAATTCCTTCAAGGTATATGAGCTTCGACAACCAAAATTCTAATCACTTTTTCTTCAGTCAGTGTGGGTGTTTGTGCCAAATTTGAGGAAATCCCTTGAGACGTTCTTGAGATATCGTGTTCACAAGAATAATGCAGACGCAAGGTCACAGTGACCTTGACCTTTGACAACCAAAATGTAACCAGTTCATTACTGAGTACAAGTAAATGTTTGGGCCAAATTTAAAGAAATTCCCTCAAGGTATATGACCTTTGACAACCAAAATTCAAATCAGTTTTTCTTCAATGAGGACATTTGTGCCAATTTTGAGGAAATCCCCTTGAGCCGTTCTTGAGATATCGTGTTCACAAGGATGGGTTGTACGTACAAACAGACGGATGGGTGTACAACCCAAAAACATAATACCTCTCGGGGCGTCAGTGGCTTAGTGGTAGAGCAGGCGCCCCATGTACAAGGCTGTTGCCGCAGCGGCCCGGGTTCGAGTCCAGCCTGTGGCCCCTTGCTGCATGTCATTCCCTCTCTCCCTTCACACTTAACTGTCCTGTCCATTAAATGCAAAAAAATGCCCAAAAAAAACATAATACCTTTGACCACAGATATCGCCAGTGCGAGGCAAAAAAGAAGCTATCAGTTAAATTCATCATTAACTTTGATTATCAATCGTTTTGTCTCTTTTTTGGGAAATGATTTACACTCAAAATACAAGTGTTGGAAGGTAGAAATAGAGTGTCACCATAACTGCACAAAATTGGACAAAACGATTGAGGAAAGGCAACCAGATGTTGTTGGGGATCATCTGTGTATCATTAATATGATTAGAATACTTTAACTGTCACAGTTATCATCAATACTGACACGCCTACTGGCCATCAATCAAGCAACACTGACCAAACAAACGTGTAAATAGTGCAGTAAAAGAAACATATAGACACGGTCTTAATGAGGCATGAGCCTGCCATTTATTGTTATTGAGGAAGTTAACATGGTTAACTGCATTGAAAGTCATACAATAAAACCTCTGAAGCTTTGTGAGAGGTCCCTCCCTGTGTCACAGAGAGAAAGCTGTAGGAATATACATACAGTATATCTTATTGGCAAGTAGATATGTTTTAGTAAGTACATTCTCCTCTACCAGGTACTCATGTACAATATACATGTTAAAAAATATAGTTTGTTTGCATTGCGATCACCTTTTTTTTTTTCCTTTTTTTGTTCAGGATGAAAGAATTCACATTTAAGTGTTACAGGTTCTTGAATGGCGATGGAACTAAAGAGCACTGTCTTGTTTTTTAATAGCTATCACATACACATAGGCATATGCATAGAAGGCACGTCTATGCATCTAAAATTGCTTACATGATAAATGGAAAAGCAGTTTTATCATCTGGGAAGAAAAACAAAAGAGTATCCAAGAACGTATAAGGCTGATAGGCAGCCGCACTCTCACAACAAACACACACACACACACACACACACACACACACACGCATACGCACATCCTCGCACACACAGGACACAAAACACCACAAAGCACGCACTCCACGAAACATGAGACAAGTACAAACTCATCCCTTTGTGACGATAAAACTGCATACAGTACACCACACTACAGAAGATCTCAGTCAGTGGATGGCGTTCACCCGGGAGGAGAGGAATCATTTCAAAGAACACTTGCTGTGAAGCAGCAGCCGGGCGTTAGCAGACATCCTCCGGTGGGAGGAAGCAGCCCCCGAAAAAACACTGATTTCATGATTTCTTTTTAAATGTTACAGAAAGAAGCTGTTCAATCCTGGATCAATGGTTGTTGAGAACTGTCCCTCAAGGCAAAGAGGAGAGCCGCTTCTTTTCCTTTATCTCAACGGAGAGACTCTGAGTCAGCAGTGAGTTCGATCTCGAGACTGCAGCTTCTCAAGGCGTCGTGATGGGAAGGCTTGATGAAAAGAAAATACTTAGGCCACGCGTTTGAAATGAATGTTGTGGATTATCACTAGAAATAACAATGCAGATCCAAAACATCAGACTTTTCTAAATACTGCTGCTGATTGTGGAAATGAAGCTAAAGGAATAGTTTGACATTTGGGGAAATACACCAATTTGCTTTCTCACCAAGAGCTATTTAAAAAAAGATCGATACTCAAGATACTGCAAAGATTAGACGACTGATAGAAAATTAACTGGCAGAATTATTTAAGTAAATTTTACGCAAAAAAGCCAAACATTAGCTGGTTTAATGCTTCTTAAATGCAGTTTGACACCTTTCTTTGTCATGCCTGATAATGAACTTAATAGCTTTGGATTTTTGGACTGTGGGTTGGATAAAACCAAGATGAAACCAACGCCAATGCAGTTGTGCCAAAAACCGCAGTTCCTCTAATGGCCACTTGAGGCTGCCTCCAAAAGCGAGTCGATACCCAGAGACCCCCATGTTAAAATGTCCAGCTTAACAGCAGAAATAAACATGTTTACAGCCTGTTACAAAAACGGTTTTGGTCTCTATCGCAAAATTTCCAAGTTCATGACAATTGTACAGGAGGTGAATTATTTTATATAACTCACCTCTTTGTATTTCATTAAGGCTTAAAGTTGCGTAATATTAAGGGCATGGCTGCTTTGAGTACAGATGAAGATGATTACATAGGGCGTTTCAGTTTTGTCTGACATTTTACTGACAAAACAATTAATTCAAAAAGTAATGGGCAAAGTAAATGCGTTTTGGAGAAACTAGTTGGTGGATTTTGTTATCTGTGGACAGTCGGGCTATCTGCTTTCACTTGTTTCCTGTCTTTAAGCTAAGCTCAGCTAAGCTAATCAGCAGTAGCTTTACATCTAGCATACAAACATGAAAGCGGTATCAGTCTTCTCATTTAAAATGGCTATTTCTCCCTCTTCAGTCGTGGCGTCACCTTTGCACAGAACCAGGTTAGCTGTTTCCACCAGTTTCCAGTCTTGAAGCTAAGCTAAGCTAATCGGCTATAGCTCTTTATTTAGAACACACACAGTAGTGGTATCCATCTTCTCATTGAAAATGGCTATTTTTCCCCTCTCAGTCAAGGCGTCACCTTTGCACAGAGCCAGGCTAGCTGTTTCCCCGTTTCCAGCCCTCAAGCTAAGCTAATCAGCAGTAGCTTTATATATAGCACACAAACATTAAAGTGATATCAAACTTCTCAGCAAAAATGGCTATTTTTTCCACCCACAGTCATGGCGTTACCTTTGCACAGAGCCAGGCTAGCTGCCTTCCCCTGTTTCCAGTCTTTACGCTCAGCTCAGCTCAGCTAAGCTAAGCTAAGCTAAGCTAAGCTAAGCTAATCCGCTGCTGCCTGTCGCTTCATACTTAGCTTACAGACATGACAGTGGTATCAATCTTCTCATGTAACTCTCGGCAAAAAGGCGAATGGGCAAATTTCCCAAAATGTCAAACTATTCCTTTAAATGTTTAAGTTTGATTAACATGAACAGAAAGACAAAAGAAAAGTGTGTCTGTGAGTGTTAGTGTGTTTAAACTACTGAACCCAGCTGACTATCACAGGCCAACAATCTCTAGCCACAACAATGACTATCTATAGTGCCAAAGCTGAGAGGTGTGTGACTGCTTCCTAAAACAGTGACTCTTAAAAATTAAGTACATGTGGTGCTCAAAATAGGCAATGGTACACAAAAGGCATTTGTCTTAAAAAACAAAAACAAGAAAGAATGAAAAAAAAGTAATATGCACTTTTAAAAAAAACTTAAAAAACAAAGTTTTTTTGGCAGCCGTGCGTCTGTGGCGATGCCTGCAACTGAGATACACAACAGACTCCCCTGAAATCTTAATATGTCATCACACTGACTCTGACATAGAAGTGCAGGCGTGAAGAAACTTCTGTCTAAACCCCAGGTTACATTATTTATGAATCCACCAGGTGAATCAAGGCTTGACTGTAACTGTTAATGCTGCTAAATAAAAGTGCAGCAGTAAGGGCATTCGGCTTGAGCTCAGGAATGGTTTAACTTACAGACACTGTGTATCCCTCCCCCCCTCAAAAAAAAAAAAAAGCATATTAAACCCATGTGGACGACAACAAAAAAGTTAATTCACACTCTGAACAGCCTGAATTTAAGTTTCTCTTCGAGGCAGTTCTGGAGCAGAAAAAAAAGGAATTCATGTTCAGAAGTCAGTGGATTACAAATCAACAGTAAATACGGTGTCACACTACAATGCCGATAGTTCTTCATTCAGAAACGTTACTCTATAGAACAGTGACAACTAGACAATAATCACTGGAAATTTCGCCTCACTGTTGTCCACATGTCCTCGTCTCCCACCGTGTAAAAGGCTGAACAGGCCGAATAGAGACTTCTAATTGGCTGAGAGATGTGGATTAAATCATTCGTGGTTTTGGCACAGGCCTTTGTCAGAAAACTCCTCACTTCAGTCTACAAACAATCTACATAACCTTCCTTTGGTTAATTAAAATAAAAAGAGATGAGCAAAGGTTAGCTAGGTTTTCCCTCTGAGGAGAGTGCTCTCTGTTTGCAGCCCTTGTTTGGGGTGAGATTTACAAAGGCTAAACCCAGAAACTGTGGTTTAGTAGGATTTAGCGTGTTAGGCTTCTCAAAAGGCTCTTCTGATGATCATCACAGTGGTTTAGAATTCAACTAGAGGGCAAATGTTCATGTGGGATGAGTGAGAGCAGGAGGACCCTGGTGTCTGGTGTCTCTCACGTTTTTGTGTCTTGTTTTTTTATGTGTGTGTTTTTCCATTGTTCCATGTCATTTACGGTCAAGTCTCAGGCGTCAAGGTGTGGCTGGCGAAAAAACTGTCAGGTATCAAGATCCTGGAGGAGACAGAGAGAAAAAGAAAAATGTTAATGACTGTATATTCTCAACAGGGATGTTGGAGGTGCAGCTGCCTCTCCCCCACAGGGCTGTAGGCTCCATAGGAGTGTTAAAATGTGTTTGTCTTGTTGTGTTATTGGGAGCCAGAATAGAAGGAGTCATGGCTCAAAACCAGCCGCCACTGCCCGTCAACAAAAACAAAGACAACTATGGTTAAATGTGATAAGACCAAAGGACTGGACGGAGGCCATCATCAAAAATGCTCACATGTGCAGCGCACACTTCATATCAGGTTAGGGAAAAAGTATTTCCTGTTGTAGGGATGAATAAGGTTATGTGTATTAAGGGTTATCATGTCCACCTCATCAGAAACTGGGGAGGGATTAAGAGGAATATTGGATTTCTCTGGAACACTAACTTTTTAGCACATTAGCTAACATTAGCTTCCATAGCAAAACAAACAAGTGTGGTCCTCCTTTGTAAGATTGGCTTCCTGTGACATCATCCATCCACTGAGTGAGAGCATACGGGTCGGCCACTCTGGTCCCGTTGGTCAGTGTTTACTAGGGCTGCAACGACTAGTCGACCAATAGATGACTAATCAACTATTAAAATAATCGGTTACTATTTTAGTAGTCGGCTAATCAGCTTGAGTCATTTTTCATAGAAAAGTACTATAAAAGTGCCCCAAAATACTCTTACTGCAGCTTGTTACACTGAAATATTGGCAGCTTTACACACTCTCCCATGACAGTGAACTAAAACCCTTTGGCGTGAGTACGAAACAAGACATTAGATGACATAATTTTGGGGTTTGGGAGAGACAGACCGACATTTAACAACATTTTAACACATTTTTCGATAACATAATTAGTCGACTAAATTTTTTCATTATGCTTCGTCCGTATTTCTGCATGTTTCCATAAAGCTTATGGATACGGGCCAAACGGAGCAGTACCACCAGAAACCGTGGGGGCAGTGTTGCTGTCACTACCCGATACGTAGCTCTAGTGAGACACGAAGAAGAAATAACAATGGTGGTTATCGAATGCCCCGGCGGACATCCGAAAGTACTGGAAATGATGCTCATCGTCAATTTCTCTCATCGGCAGTACTAGAGACTTTGTCTTTTATGCAAGAGGTACATTATCAATATCTCCTCCACAGTCGCCATGTTTGTTTTTGAGTTTGTTCTTGTCATAAACTTTTGACTCTGCGCTGCCCCCTGGTGGATATATTGGTTAACATCCATGCCAATGTAAAGGGCGCATGGAAGAATGTGGGCAGTGACGGTAACATCGTTTGAAACGGACGTATACATTTTCGTACGTAAAGGGAGCATAAATGGGCCTTAACCGGAGAAATAATGGTCAGTGTTTACTTATTCAAGTAACACTGGCGGTCCCGGAGAGTGAGTGACCTGACATGGTGCGTTGGTAAATTCAGTCTGACGCTCTACACTAAAATGAGAGCCCTGTTGGTGGAAGAAACGGAGCGTTATATTTCTACATGAATGAACCAACGGTTAAGTTAATCACACATTCACTCCGCTCAGCGCTCTGCTGCTCCGTCTCCACAGACAGAGTGTCCAGAGTGCGCTCTGCCACTCTGAGAGTGCGCTGCTCTGGATAACCCAACACTACATTCAGACAGCGCTCCCAATTTATCAACGCTCCAGTTTGTGTCAGAGTGCGCTCCCACACTCACAATGAGTGTTTCTGAACGCACCACTCACATCATCTTCCTCCATCGTCTAAAACAAGACAGGTAAAATAACCCACTCTGCCTTGCCTGCATAATACTTTGCATCTGTCCCCCTTATATAAAGTTTGTTTGTGTAACACCAAACAAAAAAGAATGGTAAAGTAGAAGCAACTGCAATTTGTAAAGGTAAACAGTATTTCTTGGTTGAAAAATCATTTTAAAGCCACATGAGGGCAGCATAACAAGCTAAAAAAAAGCTTAAACTTGATCAAACTTGATTAAAAACACATCTGGCGTAAGGGTGAACATGTTAGCAAACAGGAATGAAACTAGTGCTGTGGACATGTACATTATCCTGAACTTACCATGTGAGCTATTATAGTACCCGCCATTCAAACACCCTCACTGCCTTTATCAATATAATTCCTATCTTTACTTGAGATTTTACAGTCTCATATTGTGATTTCTATATGAGCAGCTTGTCATTTCATTTACCTGGAACTGATAGAGCACTGGGGTCAAAGGTGAATCTCATCTGTAGCTCTTCTGCTGCTGCATCAGACCCACGTTCTCATACACTCTGGAGCTGTCGTCCCTCATCCTATAAACACACACATGCACTTTAATGACAAGCTACTGAAGAGGCTTTCTTTACAAGGATGCAAACAGTTATTTAAGTAAGGAATAATGCCCGACACAATGTCCTTTATCACTTTTTAATGGCTGACATGGAGGCGTGAACCGTCTGACGCACAGCAGAGGCCAATAAAAAGTGATCATGGACTCCTTGAATGACATCATCCCACTTATACCAGTGTAACTTGTGCTTTCTGCAGTCAAAATCTCAGTTTCCATGCTAACACCTGAGGGTCTGTCTAATACCTGGAACAATCATTGCTACCCCGTAAGGTTCTTATACAAAAGAAACTTTATTTAATACTCCAGTAAACAGGACGAACCTCAGATAGACTTGCAACGGGAGATATTCTACTCGCCCATAGCATGGAACCCTTTGGCCCAACTATTAGCCAGAAAGCTAACGTTATGCTAGCAAGATTCAAAGTCAGTAACACTGCATACAGTTGACAAACAGTAAACTTAAGTTGACAGTAAGTTAAACAAGAAGACGAGCTCGCTATCAGCCATATCATCGTCCCCAAAATCAGTATCAAGATTTCCACGAACAAACAATACACCATGTGTACTGCAGCCTTAAGTAGTGAATTGAATAGGGGACAGGATGTGAAATGATTGCTTCAGTTCAGAGGGGCGGTGTGGTACCTGCAAGGTGTTACAGTCTCCATCCTGTGGTGTTCAGAGGACGAGGCACTGAAGGACTAACATTACTCTCAGTGTTGTAAATTACTTGTAAACAGAAGACAGATACTGACACTAATATGGAGCCGGTGCATTCATTCAGAACAGTGACGATTATCAGTTTTTAAAAGACCCCTGCAGCCAATCAGAGTAGAGTATCCAACCAGACCATGGTATAAATGCAAGTTAAACAGCTGCTCTTCGCGGACAGCTTTACTCACTCTGTGCAGGTGGGAGTAGGAATAGGAGTGCAAGGAGGCAAAGGGCTCTGCTCTCCTCCAGTCAGGTCAGACAAAGAGTACTTAATGTTGGTGTACTCGCGCCCTTTAATCTTACTTTTCTGCAGAGGAGAACACAGAGGCTGGTTAGGAGACAGGAGCAGGAGAAATAAAGTGAAACAGGAAAGAGTGATGGTGGTGTTATCTGCGTCACACCTGCTCCTCCTCTATGCGTCTCTGCAACGTTTCTATGTAGTGCTGCACAGCCATGTAGATGAATCTGTACTGCGCCTCAGTCTGCACCATCCCAGAGCGCTGAGAACGGACCATCTGGATGGTCTTTGGCACGTCGATGTCGCAGTCCACCCCTGCAGCAGGACAACAGTATCATACACTGATAACAGCCTCAGCACCGGTGACGACACACTGACACTTGTAATGATCAGTGTAAATTTACAGGACTCACCTTTTTCCCTGATCACGTCTATCAGGATGTCGATCACTATAAACGTTCCTGTCCTCCCGATCCCTGCACTGAAGAGCATGAGAGACAGTCTTTGAGTTAGCAGGTTTCCTCTGTGACCGTTTGTGTTGTCTGTTACAGAGGATCTATGTCTAGTTTAATCAGGTGTGTGTACCTGCAGTGTACCGCTATAGGCCCAGCGTCCAGTATGCTCTCCTGCTTCAGGTTGACCTCCTCTAAGAAGTCGAGCACACCGCCGGGGTCAGTGGGGACTCCGTGGTCCGGCCAGGCCCTGAAGTGGTACTGCCAAACTGTGCGTTCTGTGTTCCCCTGAAAAACACGCAAAACAAAAACGACATTCAACACACAGAAAGAGCTTCGTTACAGTTTAATTAATCGTAATCAATACATTAATACTGAGGTTCTTGAAAGGATAAGGCTGGAAATCTATCTATATTGTGTAAAGGTCAACAAATCCAATGAAAATAAATAAAAAACAACAACAACAACAATGTGTCTAGGATTTAATATTTAAAACTTTTTCAACAATGTTTGGAGGCTGGTTGCCCCACGGCAGCTTTTGTGGTAAATATGGCAGCTGAAAAAATGTAATGAAACACGCTATACTACATACTCCTTATGTCACACAAGTCAATTCATTTGTCGTCATTTTTCCATTTATTAAAATTAAATTAATTTTTTTAAGATATTTTTTGGGGAAAGCGAAGTGCGAAGTGGGAGAGAGAGAGAGGGAGCGACACGCAGCAAAGGGCCACAGGCTGGAATCGAACCCGGGCCGCCGCGGCAACAGCCCTGCACACGGGGCGCCCACTCCATCCGCCAAGCCACCGACGCCCCTATTGACCAATTTTTTATTTGTATTTACATATATCTTTTTTTTTTAATTCTTATCAATTTAATTTAATTTATTTTAATTAATTTTTTTTTTTTTCATTCTTGTCTACTGGATTTCCTTTGGCTGGTCTGGCTCTCTCTGTTTGTTCTAGGGTTGGTGGGTGGGGTTATCTTTTTTGTCTTTGTTCGTTCTATGTTTGCTGATGCTCTGTACATTTTTACTGAATTATCAATAAAAATACCTTGTTTTAAAAAACATGACCATCTCACTGTGTGACTGCTGTTACCACCTCCGTCTACTAACCAACCAATAGAAATGCAGCCTGAAATGATGCACAATACTAAATGCTAGCAGATGCTAATAAATAGTTATTAAGAGCTGTCGTTGCAAAATTGGCCACAATGGGTTCTTTTCTTCAGCCATGACTGCATCCACATTCTCCTCCTCCTCCTCTTCAGACTTTTTCAACACACATAAATGCTGCTATAGAAGGGCTTGACTCATGTTAGTTGTATGTTGTTCAGAAGGTGCTGTCATCGTACAGTCTGCAGACATCAAACCTGATGGCATACCCACTTTTATCAGATCCATGTTGCACAGTGTAGCTGCACTAAACTTAGAAGACGGCTAAAATCTCACAGCCTGTAGGAGGCTTTAGTCAGCCAATTAACATTTTATCAAACGTGACTCAAGCAGGAGAAAATAGTACATTTGTAGGGGACTATTTTTATCTGCGTATTAATACACATCTGGTGCTCCAGTGAGTATTTCCGACTGCAGGAAGGTGTGTGTGTGGGACTGAGTCAAATTTAACTATAATGCCTATGTTCATCTTTATAAAAGGAACATGTCACCCAGTGCAGCAGTGACTCACTGACGTGCTTTAAATAGTTTTTGGACAACAATGGAGCTCTATGGCACAGAGGAAAAAATATATAAGGCTTTGATGCAAACACAGATACAGTCATTGTTGGTGTTTGGTCTTTTAGTGGAAAGGATTTTGTCTTCTTAATATGTGAAAAGCACTTTTTTTTTCAACTTTACAACTCACATGGAGTCCATTTTAAAGTAGCCCCAATTTATTGAAACACTGAGATTTAAAGTTAATTGAAAATTCAAATTCAAACACCCTTCATTTGATCTGCAACACATTTACTAAACAGATATTTTGAGCACAAGCAGCAGTAATGTCGGAATCTGTTTAGTGCTGCTTGTAAACTGCAGCAACACAATGTTCATTAAATGTTCACTTCAACGCCACTAGTGCCATCTAGTGAAACTGCATCTCCTCACTACAGATTGGATTTAACCATAGGTTAAGAACTAGTAGATATCATTACGACACTCATTTGAAATTATGTTCCCCAAATCTGAAAATATAAATTCCAAAAAAAGGGAGATTTTCTGAGCTTCCACTTCATCTACATGTAAACACACAAACACAACTTACCTGTCCAACTTTAGACAGCTTCAGTTCTCTTAAGATGTAGTCGTGTGCCGCCGTCTCTCTGACGTTGCGAACGCGCATCGCTCCGTACTCCTTCAGAGCCGACATGTCCGGCCAGTACTTCACACATTTACTCTGTTGGGACACAATAACGTTCACTTTGACATGTTTCCTCTGATGCTGCTGGCTAACGAGCAGAGGTGGAAGAAGTACTCTGATCTTTTTAAAAAGTAGAAATATTCTGTTACAAGTTCAAGTCCTGCATTTCGGTAAGTAACTATTACTCAAGTACAAAAGTATCAGCATCAAAAATATACTTAAAGTGCTAAAAGCACTCACTTTGCATAACGACCCATTTCAGAATAATATATTTCATATTCATTGATTATAATTATTGATGATAATGAAACTGTAGCTGATAAATGTGGAGCTCTTTTTCTACTTTACTTGAGTATTTTTATTCTATGCTACTTTATACTTCTACTCTACATTTCAGATAGAAATATTGTAGTTTTTACTCCACTACATTTATTTGTCAGTTACAGTTTACATGAAAACATTTAATACGATGCTGAAGCAACGATCCAGCTTTTTCAGTTTGGATACAGATCCTGATGCCGCGGTTTTGAGTATCAGCCAATACCTGATACCGATCCGATACCATGGTTGACCTAAAAAGCTATACACCTTTACATGTAGAACAGAAAAGACTAGAGGCATCAGGCATTGATGACTACACAGATCTCTCCTAAGATTAAATGAAACTATTTATGTTTAACAAAAATAAACAATTGTGCAGCAGCAGTTGAAATAGTGTGAAATACCTCCACACAGCAGATTCTCTCCTTCGCTCCATGACGTATGACGTAGCTCGCGTCGCAATAGATTTAAAGGGAAAGGATCGCCTCAGGTATAGGTTGCATTTTACAATACCCGATCCATCTATTTGGATGATATCAGTGCCGATATTTGATCCAGATATCAGATCGGTGCATCCCTAAGCACTACACTACTAATCTACCCAGAAGTGCACAAAGTATCTTATGCTGCGTTCCAGGCAAGTTTCTGAGCCCGCAAGTCACCACTTCAAGTCACAACTCACGACTTCATAGCGTTCCAGGCAAGTCACGCCAAACTCTCAAAGCAACATGGCGGACCGTGCAGGGTTTATGTTTGTTTATGATCACTTCTGTCACCAAAGGTGGCGGTTCCTTCCTCATTTGAGTGAAACGGAGGAGGAGAAACGGCGCTTAAGGTCACAATTCAAATAAACAGATGCTATTATACTTTTTATTTTACGTTATCTGTGTGTTGTGAAACGTATTTTGTATTGATTTATTCTTGCACTGGAAACTAGCTGTTAGAGCGGCTGCCAATAATGCGTTAACATTAGGGTTATTTTATCTCTATTTCTCACCGTGTATCACCTGCATCAACACCGCTTCCATAGGGATGCCATTGTTGTTTAGAGGAGTAAGGTCATTGTTACCGAGTTGTTAATTGTTAATCAAGTTACAGGTTGCCTGGAATGCAGCATTAAAATGTCTCCACATTAACGAACTACAACATTAAAATGCTCTCACATGTATTTGTTAGTGATAAAAACACAAGAACATCATATTCTATACAAAGAAACTGAGCCATTCTCCATGTTGAGTACTAGTTACTTTTGGTACACTTCTACTCCCCACGCCCACTGACTTATTTTTGTCTTTTTTTAGGGGGGACAGGGAATCTGAAGGGGGAGACCGCAGGCTGATACTATCTGTTACACAGATTTGGTGCTAAACTGAAGTGTTTCTTACTGCTCAAGAATTTATAAAAATTGCCCCTCCAAAATAATATCACACTAAAACACCACAGCCTTGAGAAACACCACAGAAAAATCCATGCTATTTTTAAATATCCCATGGAGAGAGACTCTCACTGCAGCCTGTTCTATTTTGTTGTGAAAATGTGGGCGTGCAGCCTCGTTCTGTGGACGATAAACCAGGTGCAGACTTCCATCTGTGTCACCGCTGATGAGGAAATACAGCGAGTGCTGGACGGAGCAGTGAGTGACAACAACCCCGCCCACATTTAAGAGGACTGTCTGAACACACCGAGGGTCTAGGTACCATGTCTGAAGGCTTACTGCTGGTTCCAAAGGTGCTGGACTGAAAGGGTTTGGTGGAGACGGGGGTTTGGGTATCCATAGAACCCATCTTCATTCAGATATCTTGAGGTGGAAGTTCAAGGGACTCTGTGAAAATGGCCATGCAAGTGTTTTTCTGCCAAAATTTAGCTCAACTTTGGAGCAGTATTTTGCCTTCGTCCTGACAAGCTACCAGTATCTTCACTCTAGCTTTAACACAGCCCTCCATTCAGCCTCACAGACAGTAATGTAAGCTGAGAACTCCAGTGTCATAGACTGGAAGGGGTTAAGTACATTTTGCTGATAATGCTTGTGCACTTTTATGTCAGTAACATTTTGAATTGAGTATTTTTAGTCTGTGGTGTCTCTTCTTTTATTCAAGTAAAGGATCTGAGTGCTTCTTTCACCACTGGTGACTGACACCAAACCTGATATTAATACACTGTAGCTGCACTGGAAATATGTTGATGTTTCAAAATCAGAGTCAGGTACGTCTGTTGTGCTCACCTTTCCCCTCTCCACCTCTTTGGTGGTCATGACGATGACTCGTGAGTTCTCCTGAAACACCATCCTCCAGAAGTCACTGATGGTGTTCTGCAGACAGCCCTGAGTGGCGATGTAGCTCTTCTTCACCTTTGTACTGTTGCACTTTGGGTCCAGCTCAGGCTGCACACACACAAACACACACACGGTCAGCTGAGAACTGAAAACACACAACACATGGAGTCAAAACAAAAACACTGACCACACATGGAAGAATGACTGATCAACACAATTCAACATTTTCTTTATCAAGTACAGGATAAAAAGTGTGTGTGTATGTGTGTGTGTGTGTGTGTGTGTGTGTGTGTGTGTGTGTGTGTGTGTGTTTCCCTGAGGATGAAGTGAGTTTACCATGACAGCAGATACTACCATGATGATATTGGCGTTGATGTAGTCAGAGCCTGGCTCATTTGGGTCCCTGTCATTCAGCACCACACGTGTGTGGTCGACTGGAAACAGAAACAAAAACATTTTTAAAAATCCCCTCAGGTGAAAGTGAAACGTTGTTATAGTGAGAGCCGTCGGGGTTTTTCCTCACAAGGCAGAATGTTCTTGTATCTGTTCTTGTTTTTGTTCTCTGCTCTCTGGCCCTCTTTGCGACTGTAGAGCAGTTTGCACTCTTGTTGCTGCAAGGTCTGGATGGAGAAAAGAGAGGGGAGTCAGATCTCTGCATGACACCTTAGCGTGCAAACAAGGACAGGTGAGCTGCGGCGTGACACAACGACAGAACCACTCACCTCAAATTCTTCCCAGAAACCCTGTTTGACCTTGTCAGTGGCCTCCGCTAGTTTGCTCAGCTCCCGAACTCGACTTTCAATCTCTGCAGCGTTAATACGGGTAGTGTTCAGGGGCTGAGGAGGAGAGCGAGAGTCAGTACCAGAATTTACAACTCAGGAAAATGCTGCCTAGCTAACAGTAAACACGTACCTGTTTGAGCTGAAGGACAGTGCCCAGAGTTTCCACCATGGGGTTCTTTTTGTAGTGCTCTACCAGGTCAGTGAGGGAGTCAAACTTCTCCCCTCCGCCCACATCGTACTTCAGGTCATGCTGAAGAAGAAGCAACAGCCATATGAGCAAACATGTCTCAATTTTTTTTTAAAAATGTGCGTGAACAAGAAACACAGCGACTCAGAAAAACCAGACGACACGTTTACAGACACTGCAGCATCCTGAGTCAGGGTTCCCACACATTTTTGCCAATAAATTTTCACCCCTTTTCATAATATTTCAACCCATTTCCATCACTTTGTTAAAGTAGTTTGAAATGAGTAGGACTATATAGAGCCATACATTATTAAACATGCACTTCCAAAGCATTTGCAGATGAGACAACTGTGAGCACTTGGAATTTTACTCGCTAGTTAGACATTTACGCCGCCATCTAGCTGCATAAGCTAACAGACCAGACTGCCACGCACAGTCATTTGGCAAAACGTCAAGGCCACGTCTCTTTTTGGGGACAGAAACTGAAGATCCTGATGTGTGTTTGGGTTTAAGTTTGACACATCTGTATGCATTTCTTTCTTGTTAAACAAACTGTTAACAAGAACGTTTCCTCGGAGCACAGATGTGTCTGAATCTTCCACTACAGGAACTCAATGACCTGTCACTTCAGGTGTACCCGTCTTCACAGGTTCTGCTTTTGTTTTCACTGTACTCCACTTTCAGGATGAGTTCCTGCACCTAAAGTTAGACGTGTCTCAGAAGGTAATGATACTAAATCTCTCTGAATCAAAATATCAAAATGCATGTTTTGCTGCCTTCTGTTACTTTACATTTGTTGGTTTTAACTGTTGATTGTTTGCACAGTGATAAAGAGTATGCAACTAACTTAATGACATTTCACAGTATGTATTTTCTTTAATCGTGGAAGTAAGCGAGGCAGTGTGACCAAATGCCACTTTGCTATATTTTATTTTCTCCTGAAAAGGCTCAGAAATGACTGCATTCATCACACAGTCTGTTCTGCAGCAGATTTTTCTTCCCCATTGTCTGATTTAGGTCAGAATTCAGCAGACAGTTTGACGGTTCAGAGCAGAGCGAGAGCAGGACAGGCAGCTGTTAATGCGGCCTTTAGGGCAACCACCTGTCCAGAGGGACGCAGCTGGCTCTGGAGAGTTGGTCAGTGGGGTCTGTTGACCTCTTACTGCCAGTGGGGCCCTTACATTATTTAATAATACTGACTTTACATGTCATTATGTGTTAAGATGAAAGAAAATCAACATTAGACACACTTATTCCATCGTAGTCTGTCCCACAACGGTACCTGACTATCAGACGGTGCAAGAAAATGATGACGTTTCTCTCTGGTTGTCAAACTAAGAAGCTAACTAATAAGAAGCTCCAGTTCAGTTTTAGTCAGACTATGGCTGGAATAATATTGAATAAGAGGATGCATCACTGTGTGTAATGATCTCTCCTCTCCTTCACGTGTACTTGAATTCACACACAAACACAACCTCATTACTTGTCCTCCATCTTGTGCAACTCCAAATCCATTTGGAAGTCATGTTCCCATATTTACACCCCCTTTTAACCAACTGGCATGAACACAAACACACCTTCACACACAAACACACTTGACCCACAAGACAAATTTCAGCCTAGGGCGAAAACTGTGGACGGCAAAGGGTGGGGGAACTTTTCTGGACCGACTGACCAACTGACAAAGCAAACTATGGAGCTGCTAGATAAGTCTGAAAAATATTATCAAAATGTCTGGAAAAATGTTAATAAAATGTCAGAAAGAAATTTTGGTAACATGTCAGATACAATTATTAAAATGTCAGAAAAAAATGTGATAAAATGTCTCAAAAATATTCGCAAAATGTCCAAAAAAATGTCAATAAAATGTCGGAAAGAAATGGTAACATGTCAGAAAAAATGATTAAAATGTCAGAAAAAAATTGTCATAAAATGTCTGAAAAAATGTCTGAAAAAATATCCGAAAGAAATGTTGGTAACATGTCAAAAAAAAATATCAAATGTCTGAAAAAATGTTAATAAAAATTCTGAAAGAAGTGTGTATAACATGTCAGAAAAAAAAATATCAAAATGTCTGAAAAAATCTTGATAAAATGTCTTAAAAGTATTATCAAAATGTCCCAAAAAAATGTCAATAAAATGTCCGAAAGAAATGTTGGTAACATGTCAGAAAACAATATTAAAATGACAGAAAAAATGGTCATAAAATGTCAGAAAAAATCTTGATAAAATGTCTGAAAAATATTATCAAAACATCAGAAAAAATGTTAATAAAATGTCCAAAATAAAGGTTGGTAACATGTCAGAAGGGAAATTATTAAAATGTCAGAAAAATCTTGATAAAATGTCTGAAAAATATAGTCAAAATGTCCAGAAAAATGTTAATAAAATGTCCAAAAGAAATGTTGGTAACATCAGAAATTTTTTTTTTTAAATGTCAGAAAATATCTTGATAAAATGTCTGAAAAATATTATCAAAATGTCCCAAAAAAAACTGATAAAATGTTGCAGCTAAAAGTTAAATATATGGAAAACTATAACATCAGAGAGCGTCCAGTAAACTAAATAAACAGCAACAAAAACATCTGGATCCTTGCAGTGACACAGCAGTTCATCTAAACATCTGTATTAGTCAGTATCACAGCATTAAAGAAATTTTAATGTCTCCATTTCTACATATTCTGATGTAACAGAGAGGACGTGCTGTGGAGAGGCAGGGAAACTTGAAGGTGCTGAGAAGTGTGTGTTTACCTGGCAGCGGATCATGACGTGAGTGACTTTGGGTTTGCTGTCACTGCTGTCCGTCTTGTCATCTCCTGTCCGCACTGACAGAACAAAATCCCCGGGGTGGCTCTGGCTCTCTCTCACCAGGAAGCTGCCGTTCTTCCCTTTCTCCGTCAGCAGCTTCTCTGCCTCCCGGCCCGACAAGTGTCCGTGGAACCATCTGCCAAAAACAACCACAACGGCGAAATATGTTTCGACTAGGTTCGACTCATGAAACTCGTTTTGCACTCGTTATTGATGAGACATAAGCAAGGATGTTTATTGTTTACAAGCACAGTTAATCAAGGGCCAAAGACAGTACAACAGCCCTACAATTAATTGTTTTTTTATTATCATTACATGTTACAGCTTTTTTTACGTGGGAGCAAGGAGCCATGTCCAATTTCTTATAAGTTTGGAGAGTGAATATAAAACTTGACTTTAATTCAGCATATCAACACCTCAGAGAAAAACTGAAGGAGCTGGTTTTAATGTCATTATGTAGCAACGAGAATGTTTTTCTGTGAGTTGCATCAGCCTCCTCGCTGCTGCAAGGAGGCAGACTCATATAATAAGTGTGTGTCTGTAAATGAACATAACAAGAAAACTAAAAAAATGTTCTCTTGCTTTCATATTAAATGCCCCAAATACAGCTAAAGCTGAGGAACTAAACTGTAGCAAAAAACTCTCAAATCTGAACATGTATATTTCTGCTCACCTCTCTGACGTTGGGTCCGCACAGTTGAGCGGATACTTGAGCTCAATGACGTCTCCATTTTTCTCTTTCAGCTGGCCGTGATGCTCCATGTAGTACTGCACCAGCTCCGCCAGAGTGGCAAACTTCTCCCCGCCATAGAGGTCGTAGTAGTCTCCTGTGTTCTGGATCTTAATGTGGGTGACGGCTCCATTTCGCCTGCAGGGGGAAAAAGTACATTCATTTAGAGAAATGCTGCCATCAGGGGGTAAAAACATCATCAGCAGGGACACATAGAAATCCAACAGGAAGCTCATGTTTCTTCAGAAATTCCAATTAACTTGCAGGGTTTAACGCTGCGGTTTTCTTCGGGGTCAAGTGGGTCAGAAAACTAGTTGCCTGGAGTCAGCTTTTATTTGCTCCTAAACAAACTGTTTTATGTTACAGCTGTTATCAGATAACAACTAAGACTTAAGTTAATTGTCATGTTAATTGCCAGGTTGGCAGAAAGTTGATGTGCCCATGGAAAACCTTTTTGTCCACCTTGCTCTTAAACTTGTGGAAAACTGCGCAGTATATAAGAGTTTTGGCCACATCCTCTACACCACCCAACTAACTACCATTTCCGGGGTAACTGAAATGTTCACTTGCACTGAAAGTCTGGAAAAATATTAATAAATCACTGAAAACATGTTGGCAAAATGTCCAAAAAATATTATTAATATGTCCTAAAAAATGACAATGAAATGTCTGGAAAAAATGTTAATGAAGGGTGTGAAAATTATTAATGCCCGAAAAATGTTGATAAGATGAACGAAAAATATTATTTAAATGTTTATGAAATGTCTAAAAAAAATTAAATGTCAGAAAAAATGCTGATAAAATGTCCAAAAAATATGAATAAAATGTTCGAAAAAATATATTGAAATGTCAAAAAAATGGTCAGAAAATGTCAAAAAAAAGTTGAAAACTTGTCCTGAAAAAATGATCAAATGTCAGAAAAAAAGTTGATAAAATGTCTGAAAATGATTAATAAAGTGTTAGAAAAATTATACTGAAATATCCAAAATAATAATAATAATAAAATGTCAAAAAAAAAGTTGATAAATTGTCTGAAAAATATTAATAAAATGTTTGAAAAATTAAATTGAAATGTCCAAAAAATGTTATTAAATCATCCTGAAAAAATGTTCAAATGTCAGGAAAAAAATTGATAAAATGTCCGAAAAATATTAATAAAATGTTTGAAAAATTATACTGAAATGTCCAAAAAATGTTTATAAATTGTTCTGAAAAAATGTTCAAACTCAAGCTCGAACTTTTCCTTCACTCATCTCTCTCTGCAACTCTGAACAGAGATGAGAAGGAAGCAAGATTACGTAATCTTTAGCGACCTCCATCATCTGCTCCACAAAAAAACCCAAACGTGTCTTTTATTCTTTTGTACCACCTGCTCAGTCAGGCAAGTGAGTGGCTAGATTTACTAGCCTAATGTCTGCAGGTGAGCTCCCTGCCTTCGATGGCTTTTTTTTCTCCAATTCTTCCTCTAAATGCTGAGTTTCTTTCTTATCTTAAGCATCCACTCCAGTAAGTTTCCTTGGACGCCTTATAGAATGTTCCGCCATAGCTTCCACCATACTCCGAGCTACTGCTCCTTTGCTATGGTCTCTCCCGTCCTCCCGCCCCCTTTAACTCTGGCTGGTTAACGTAAGTGCATCACTTCTGATGTGCAGGAAAGTCGCCACAACTTCAGTATACTGCAAAACTTGGAGAGCTTTCCCTGGCAGCAACAGGCTGAATCAGCATTGTGCCTTGTGTGTCACGAACATGTATTTATATGGATATACTCCAGTTTTAAATGTAGAAGACTCTAAATAAGTCAGCGCTGCAGAGTCACAATGAGCTCATACTTTGACAGAAAATTACAAAAATATCTCAGTGGGCCGAACCAACATGACACTTTATGTCTTCATCTAGAGGGCCGCTTCTCAAATGAGTAGACTTCCTGATTTTATTTGTCTTATGAGACTTTAAACTGAATCTTTGGGTTCTGAACTGTTGGTCGGACAAAACAAGCACAACAAACCCTGACCGCTGCATTTGACTTTATTGTCTCTCTTGTCTCACACACACTTTGGTGAAGCACTGATCTTCGCGCTCTTTAAAAAAATGAAAGATAAGTTGAATTTTAACTTGATTTTGTGAACTGCAAATATTCTGTTTCCTCACATGGAGAAAAGAAGTGCAGAGTGTTGTTGCGATGCATTCCAGCAGCACTACACCATATCATATACCAACGACTGATCGACTAATCAAGACAATAATCCTAATTTGCAGCCCTACTGCATCATTACGACACATTATCTTATGCTCCAGCCCTTCAGATGCAGAGTACATTTATTACGATTAAAAGAAGCTAAGTGATAGTTAAACACAGAGTCACAAGAACACTCACAACATAAGTGCCATCTCTGTTATGTGCATGAGGTGTGAGAGACAAAATGAAAACTAAAAATATTTCAAAGGCAGAGCGATGGCACTGACATTCAGTTTCTAACAGGAAAGCACCACATCTACGTGACACAAACCAGATATAGACAGTATGAGCTGTGTTGAGTCATCGTAGGTGACCACCAGTATCTCGGAAAATACAAAAAAGGAGAAGTTGTGGCAGATCTGAAGCTCAGCAGCATGAAACTCTGAATGACTTCTGGTTAAGTCTGGCAGAATGAGCACAAAAGGAGACAGACGTGTGCTGGTCTGAACCAGTGGGGACGAGTCTCCCTGTGGAAACGTCTCCGTTTCCACCAGAGGAGCATGACTTGTTTTGTTTCCATCTGAAGTAAATATGGTGTGAGATGAGAGACTGTGCAGCTCAAATATGAGACTGGGACAAAAATAGCATCGGCTACATCAGCTAAACTGAGTTAATGATACGTCATCTTAAAAATTTATGACTCGACAGACCCTGAGATAAAAACCACAAACTTTTTTTTATTAGCAAAAGGCTGCTCTTCCTTCTTTGGTTAGTGCTGGTTTGCCACTGTCATTCAACAGACTGCAGGCCTAAGATGGAGCAGAACTCACTGTGGAGACCTTTTTATTAGCATTATGACAGCAACATCTAACAATGTGAATACTACAGCACATTTAAAGAACATATAACATGTCACTTTTCTGCATTAAAATGTCTAAAAACACCCCATTTTAATCAAGGGGAAGGTTTGTGTCATTTGATTGTTATAAATCGACTTTCTATCCAAGTTTAAGGCACATTTTTACAATACACTTTTTAAATCTTGGTCATTTTTAACTATATGTTTTAACCAGATGAAGTATTTTAGATTTTGGAGGTCTGGATATAAAGTTATCAGAGACATTAGCTGAGCAACTGTTAGCAGCAGCTCGGCTTCAGCCCCTGTCGTGCCAAACAGCATCAGAGAAACACCCATTTTTGACGTGAAACTGCTTCAGTCAGTGTTTTTATCAGTTTAAATCACCAGGTCTATTTGTTTTGGAGAGGAAGAGGCCTCTGCAGATAATTTGGCTCTTGATTAAAACTTCCCAAATGTCTGGATCTTAAGTTATTGGAGAAATAAGTTGAGCAACTGTTGGAAGCAGCTCAGCTCCAGCCCCCGTTGTGCCAAACAGCATCGGAAAAACCCCAATTTTTAACTTGAAGCTGCTTTATTCAGTGTTTTTACTGCTTTATATCACCTGGTCTGTTTGTTTTGGAGAGGAAGAGACCTCTACAGATAATTCGGCTCCTGATAAAACTTCCCAAATGTCTGGATCTTAAGTTATCAGAGAAAAACACGAGCACACCTCAGCAGGAGCTAGACCTGCAGCCCCTTCTAAACAAGCCAAACAACATCATAGAAACACTGATTTTTAACATGAAACTGCTTTATTCAGTGTTTTTACTGGTTTTAATCATGAGGACTGTTTGTTTTGGAGAGGAAGAGACCTCTGTGGACGATTCAGCTGAATTCTAACCAGTAGAAACTGACCACAATGACGGCATTGCTCCATCTTGTTTTTTTCCATTTTGATCGAGCAGCAGAATTACATTGTACTTTTACGGCCTCATTAATTGATTTTGTCGGGCCCTGCAAACACAACACATTATACCATCTTGCAGTTACGTCAAATGTGTGAGCAAACATTTTACTTTTTACAGAGCAACGTCATCATTTGTGTGAAGTTTTGTCTGTGTCCACATGATAAATGTAAGTCCAATATTTACTCTCATTTTAGCTCCACCAACTCCTGAGTGAAACATCTGGCTATGAAGCAGCTAGACGTTCACCAGCTAGTCGCTCACTATGTCTGTTTGTGAGGTCGTGTACAGCTGAATTATATAGTGATTTGATCTACTATTTTATAAAACTACTGATTAGTGCAGCAGTACATATGACAGCCAAAAGTAGGTATAATCTAACATTCACTTAAAAGGAAGTCCGACACTTTCCCATCTCACCCAACTGATGCTTTATCTTGTTGCTGGCTGTTAGTGCAAAATCCCTGTTGCTTACAATATGAATAGTAATAACTGAGTTATATGGATGGGACATTCAGTTGGTCATCTGGTCCTTGGCATGTCATAAAAACATAGTGGCCATTTTTACTGCAGTTTGCAAATTGATGTAAACAAAGATAAAACATAATTAGAGAACATTTATGACCTGGATTTACTTTGTGTCCGGGGTTAGTGTCTCTTTTATTACCTTTATGTTTACGTTTGGATCACGAATCACATCTTGAGAGCCCTGTACATTTATAACATGTACTTGTTGGTGGCTATTTTATCGAAATATAAAGCTTAGTTTTGAAAAGACTGTTAAATAAACTCAACACTGATACTGGTAACAACACAAACCATGAAACAGCAGCTTCTATTCAGGCCTTACAGACACACCTGCTGAAACACATGCAGTCAAGACCCATAACCAGGCCCCTACGCCTGCAGAACACTGCAAATTTTAGAAATATAAATGCTGCTTATAAAACTCAGCATGTTGTCTCGGTCTCCTCCACCTTCCTGTGCATGTGTGTGACAATCGTGTGCTGTTTTCAGTGAGCATTAAAATCAAGGTTAGTGGTGTAGTGAGAAGAAATGTCAAAAATAACATTTACTGTTAACAAACTGGCAAATAAATTTTTGTTCTCTCTGCCCCATATTGAACGTTCCATTTTAATGGCAATGTGTCCCACATTTTGTTGACTGACTTTTCAAACAAATGTTTTTTCTTTAAGTATTCATGATTAAATAAAATGTCTGATTCAAAGTTTCTAAAATCTAAGTAGTTCTTTAAGCCTGCTTGAGGTAATTACAGTCTTTAAATTATTGTGTGAGGTTATTTTTGTTCTGGATCATAGCTGAAAACAACTGAAAAATCCATAGATTTCGTCTGGGCCTGTACACAGCATAGAAAAGTGTCCTTTTAACCATCACCTGTCAGGTACAGTCGTAAAGAGCAAGAGAAAGTTAATTCACAACTGCAGACACAGTATCATACATCCCGTACAGTGTACGTTGTACTTACCGTACTGAGAGCGTAAAGTCTCCTGGATTGCTCTTACTAGGCCTGGCTAAAAAGCTCCCATCCACTCCACGTGTCAGCAGGAGGTTTTCAGCCTCCACACCTGTGATGTTGGGGTGAAACCACCTGAAAGGAGGAGGAAACAATCATCAGTGTCAGTGTGGAGTACAGCGCTGTGTGCAAATAAATGTACTGCATTTAATTTCCACCAGATGATCTGAGTGTCTGTTTAGGGTGTGCCTTATTGTTCACGACAATACGGGTTTTATTTTTAATATGATATGAAAAATTAATATCATGTTTCATATCATGACAAGCATGGCTGAAAGTGAAATGATCAGCGACTCCTTGGTGGTTCCAGTAAAAAGAGGAGCAGCTTCAGTAGTGTGGAATAAACTGTGGAGTCCTGAATGTTTTCCTTCTCTTAGCGCTCAGAGGGAACTCAGTCAGCAGCTCCTCTGGCAGCAGCACAGCGTCTCTCCCTCTCCTCTCTGATTCTGTCACAAACCTTTGGTGATGTAAACCTCTGTGAATAAACTCCATATCTGTCACAGGTTACAGCCTGATGATTAGAGGAGAAATCAGCTGTTGATTTATATATATAGATCCCAGGGGACATTTTTTGTATTTGGGAGCTGTTTAAATGTGTAATTTGTGGTAGATTTTATTTAGTTGAACTATTAATATTGTGACAGAATCTGAATCTCACTCTGAGTTACTGTTGAGAAATGAGAGATCAATTTAGTTTTTACTGAAGATTTGAAGCAAACTAAGAAACTCTATCACTTATTTTGACTAATTTGTCATATTGTCAAGAACATTATTATTGCAAAAATACCCTGAAATATTGTGATATTAGTTTTGTACATGCTACGTTTTCTGATCCTGAAATGTGGCACATTTGACAGTTGCAAAAACAGAAGTTTCACCATTACAGCAACTTTCAACTTTATTGTTCCAGAGAGGAAACTAGCCTTGAATATCACGCATAAATAAAACACACAAAATTACTGCAAACATGAAACTCTCTACATTTCTATTTCTCTTTTTTCTGTCCTTTTCATTGAGACTGCTTTGTGTCAAGCCTTTTGGTTCATTTCTGGGCTTCATTCAGACACAGACTCAATCAGTGTTTGCTCTGTCTTTGTTCATAACTGTCTTTACACTGCTGGCTGCCTCCCTCTGTGAATATAGTACCCCTCAGTGTTGTGTGTTCAAGTAGTCTGTACTCTGTCCACGTCTTCAGTGCTTACTATTTATCTGTATTTCACTTTCTGTGTATCGTGTGCACAAAAACACAAATGCAGATTCCTTCTATGTGGAAACCTAGTTGGCAGTAAACCTGATTCGTGTTGCTGAGGTGGTTCTATAGTCTTTAACTTAGATTTATGGTTAATTTAAATCATGTGTTTGTGCTTTGTTTAGCTGATATTGTCATTGTGTTGCTCCCCAATGTAACTGTACTCCTGTAACTACTTTGTGCTGTGAGTATGTGACAGATAGTAACGGTGTTTACTACCCTACACATCCTCTGATTGGGCTCTAACGTTAACTTGCCGGTGTATGCTAAATGAAGCGCTCTTTAGCTAACTAGCTACTCGGTTTTTTTCCAGAACCGTTGGCACAGTCGGTGCTTGCTCACGGACACGGCAGCATCCACACAGCTGAGTTTAGTTAAAAGTTAGCTAGCTCAGCAGCTAACACAACCAGCAGACATTGTTTTCCTTACCTCCGAGATGTCATTTTTTTCGCTCCTCACTTCCTCGCTGGCAGTTAGCAGTAGCTACAATTAGCTGGCTAACGTTTCCGACCGTTTCCGCTTCAATCACCGAATAAAGTGCTTCATCGGTTCACACCCGGTCAGAACGGGCACCGAAATCCAGGCATCGAAACAAAAAAATTTACGCGTTACAAAAAAAGTCTCTAGGCCTCGGCCCCGGAGACTTCACAGCAAGTCGATTATTGGACGTCACCAAACATGCGACAAAATAGAGGGTGCGCGGATTTTCTCACCCGGAGCGGCCGGTCCTCGCCGCCGCTTTGAGGCTTCTCAGTAAAGCCGCGGAGCTGAGTAGCTCGGCCCGTCCGGCGAACAGCGACACATAAATTAAAGCGTCCCATCCACTTTCTCTTCGCGCATGCGCAGTGGCAGCTTGTTTTATGATTACAGCGGCACGAGCGGTGAGCGGCAAGGAGCGCCTCCGCGAGCCGCGCCGCTGTAGCGTCAACACTGAAACATTCCGCAGCCCACCGCACACACCGCACAGATCACGTGACCAGACATTTACATTCAGCCTAAAAATAAAGGCGACAAAATAAAATGTCAAAAATATTTATAAAATTAAAATATTATGACAGTAAATTATGAAAATATCGAGTTAGTGTACAACTGGAGGACAAGAAAGTTTGAGATTATTCATTTAATTTAATTAAAATATTTTATTCCCAAATATCGTTTTTTGAAAACGAGACATATATTTAATTTCTAAATGAGATTTTTTTTTTTTCCTTTTTTTTTTAATTGGAAAGGCCCTATGTCTGTATGAACATCTGTGCACCTTAATTCCTAAACGACTACTTGCATTTTGTTTTATATTAAAGTTTTGGCTTGTGTTTCATTATTATTTATTTCTGCCTTGCAGTTAGCTCGGTTATACTAATACTGTAATCTGTATTTAAGTGTCATATGACGTGCCTTTTTTAACTATAAATACAATTCTTAAAGAAAAAAAAATTAAAAAAGAGACAACCCAGAATGAGAAAAATATTATGACTGTAAATTATGAAAATATACAAGTTAGTATCCAACTGGAGGACAAGAGAGCAGAGTTTGGGGTTAATGATTTAATTAACTTAGCAAAAATATTTTATTCCCAAATGTCGTTTTTTTAAACTAGCCATATATTTAATTTCTAAATTAGATAATTATTTATTTATTTGTTTTTAAGTTGGAAAAGTCCTGTGTCTGTATGAACATCTGTGCACCTTACTTCCTAAATAACTCGGTTATAGTGCTACTGTAATCTGGATTTAAGTGTCTTTATTGACTTGCCTTTTTTAAATGTTAATAAAAAACTTAAGATTTTTTTTTTTAAAGGAGACAACTCTGAAAATACAACTTACCTTAAATGTCTCAGCTTTAAAAAAAACAACTTTATCTTAATTAGGATATTTAGGGCTGACTGTTCTGCATTGATAAATGAAGTAATCAGATCATTAACTCAAGTAAAAGCATTCAAAATTTTACTTGTGTAAAAGTACAGAAGCTTTAGCAAAGCTGCAACTATCAATTACATTGTCTATCATGTTTTTTTTCAATTAACTGATTAGTTATGTCAATAAAATGTCAGAAAAGGTAAAAAATGTTGATCAGTGTGTCATAAAGCCCAAGATGACATCCTCAAAAGTTTTGTTCTGTCCACATCCCAAATAAATTTAGTTAACGGTCATGAAGGAGTAAAGAAAATAGAAAATTTGCACATTTAAGAAGCTGGAATCAGAGAATTTTTACATTTTATCTACTTATTTTTATTGACTAATTTAATAGTTGACAATCAATTAATCGATTTATTGTTGCAGCTCTATAATGGCATCAAAATATACTTAAAGTACTAAAATTAAAATTACAATGTTTTCAGAATGGCTATATATACCCTATTATATTACTGGTTTATAATTATTGGCACATTAATGTGTTCGTCACTTTTATGTTGCAGCTGGTAAATGTGAGACCAATTTTAAATCATCCATACATATTTTATTCACGTATATCACTTTGCATAGGATGCTGGGAAGCTTGTGGTGAAGTCTACTTGATATTGTAGTATCATAATATTCTTAATCAGAATCTGGAAAGTAATTAGTAACTAAAGTATTCAAACGTAGTGAAGAAAGTACAATATTTAACTCTGAAATGTAACGTAACAGAAAATGGAAATACTCAAGTAAATCAGACTCAAAAAGGGATTTGTCTTGGTGTTTTGGTGCATGATGTCAAATACTGTGCAAAAGTCAAGAGACATAGTGTAAAATATTAAAATGTACAATAGGAAATATATGAAAAAAATATAAATAATATGTAAAAGTATATCTATTTCTAAAGTGGATGAGCAGAGAGCAGAGTACCTTAAAAACATACTTAAACACAGCACTTGTAAATGTACTTTCCACCACTGCTATTAACAATTACCAGATTAAGTCATAAAACCAAGAAAAAAACTAATAAATGACCTCTTAATTCTGATTTTAACCTCAAGCACGAGTCATAAAGTCTTTAACTAGACTCTGAGGGTGTGACCTTCATCAGGATTGTTTTAACATGTGAGATTAGAAACACTGTCAGCAGTTTTTATTCTCATACAGATGCTGCTTGTATCTTTAACTTGAACCACATAATCACAGTAAACTGGTGATAAAACTTTAATGACTGTTGCAGGATGATCAGACTTTTCTTTGGCACGACATATGTAGAGTCAAAGATGGAGATCTGCCTGTGCAGGTTAGTCCAGGAAAGAAGCGACTACAACATTTTCCTGTTTCAAACATTGTGCAGCACTTTTCATTTAATAACAGATATATTTTTCATATTATTCACTGTAACCATTTTCTATTTTTGTTTATAGGTCTTGACTTTTACACAAGCTGAAAAGAGTCCACTGGTTCAATTAAAAAAAAAAATTAGGGCAACAATTTGCATGCATCTTTTCACGTAGATCCAACTAATCTGACAAACTCAGCTTAGTACAATCAACATGATTTGCTTTGACCTCGAAAAACTTCAGCTGAATCAACTTAACATTCATCCCAAAGTTGTGGCGATATTTAGTGGTCAAATTATTCTATTTAGGATGTTCTAACTTATTTATTTTAATTACACCCTAATCAAAAGTGTCAAAAATATTTCTGAGTCTGACCAGCTTCTTAAAATAAGTTGTCTTGTCTATGTTTTCCTCTCTCTTTTCTCTTACTATTCATCAGTTAAGACTTGGTGTTACAATACCTGAGGTTTCAGCACGCTTGCTGCCAGAGCAGAGGTGTTTCAGCCGTGACCACCCAGCAGAGCAACCCCCGGACACATCCTCAGTTGTGCACCTCAACATCATCAGGTGTTTCGGCCTTTATCATAAGACACCCTCGGTTGAGGGGGGCCCACCACAGGCTGGGTGTGTCAGAAGGTTGGCTCCTCTGTGGTCACCTAGGGGCCCAGATGGGATCCTTTCACTTCACTACTATGTTATTGCTATGCACCAGAATGTAAAGGAAAACCTACTTGGCAATAAATCTGACGTCCATTTTATGCAACTTTACTTCTACCCCAATATTAAACTCTTCACTGCACTGCAGTTGTCTGATTACAAATTTTCTTCCACTTCCTGTCCAGTGAAAAACATGTCTCCTCAGATTCATGGCTCTCAGGACAGCGATGCCACAAACACATGATGATCTCATAGAAGAGTAGCTTAGAGACTGCAAGGTTTAACATCACCGCAGAGGAGGACAGAATTTGTTTGTCATGTAATTTAGGTGAAGTTGAGAATGAGGTTCGCTTCTTGTTTTACTGTCCTGTATGTGAAGACATAAGGAATGTACTTTCTGAGTAACATGACCTCTATCTATGTTGATTTCTTTTGGCTGGATGACCATAAAAATTTGAGTTTTGTTTCAGAAAGGGAACTTTTAATGTTGCCGAATTTCTTTGCCAGGCTTGGGAAAGAGGGCAGAGTATTCTGTTTCTGGACCGAGTGGATAAATAACATGTACTTTTGATAGTTACTGCAATCTCATTATAATGGTGTAAACCCATGAGGATGCATGACACAAATAAAAATCAATCAATCAGTCTTATAGAGTATGATGCACTGCTGTCGATTAAACTACCCCACAGTAAATAAAGGCTTTAAAGTAAGCACAATCTGCAACATACACATGAATGCAGCAGGAATATTAATGAAAGAACATCAGATAGACTAGTAAACACTAACAAGGAACATTTACTGCACAATGAGCACTTTTACATTTCATAATATAAGTATATTTTACTGATAATTACTTTTTAAATGCAGCACTTTTAATTACAGCTGACGATTTTTACAGTGTGGTATTAGTACTTTTACTGAAGTAAAGTATCTGAGTACATCCTCCAGAGGCTGATGTGATGATGAAGTGAAGTGTCTTGTAAACCCATGAGGGTTGGGCACATGTAAGTGTACATGACACAAATAAAAATCAATCAGTCATATAGAGTATGATGCACTGCTGTAGATTAAACTACCAAACAGTGAATAAAGGAGTTAAAATGAGCAAAATGCAGCAATAAAATGCAACACACACATAAATGCAGAAGGAATATTCATCCAAAAACACCAGATTGACTCATAAACACTAACAGGGAACATTTACTGCACAATAAGCACTTTGAGTACATTTTGATAATAATACTTTTTGACTGCAGCACTTTTAATTGTAGTGGAGTATTTTTACAATGTATTATAAGTACTTTTACTTGAGTAAAGTATCTGCACACTTCCTGCAGAGGCAGATGTGATGACCTGCTCTGAGCAGCTGAAGAGTCACATTCGTTTTGACAGCCTTTGCGCCACGCATTCTTAAATTTGGCCCTCGCCGGTCGCCGTTTAAGCCTGTACGTGGCAGTCGGAGAGCCGAGGCTCCTCTCCTGCAACAATTCACTCAAACACACTGACATCCTGCTCTCGTATAGGATACACCGGAGCGAGGACACTGTTTCTATCACCAGAGCCGTCGTGCCGCCCGCTGTGAGACCGATTCAAACATGTTCACCGTGTCGGAGCTGGTCGTCTTGCTGGCCGTCCTGTCCGCCACCGCGTCCGGCTACTTCGTTAGCATAGACGCCCATGCCGAGGAGTGCTTCTACGAGCGGGTCAACTCCGGCACAAAGATGGGCCTCATGTTCGAGGTAGCCGAGGGAGGCTTCCTGGACATCGACGTCGAGGTGAGATACTTCACTGACTTTATAAACGCAGCCTCCTGACGCGTA